TAATGCTCAAAATACTCCAAGCTAGGCTTCAGCAGTATGTGAACCATGAACTTCCAGATGTTCAAGCTGGATTTGGAAAAGGCAGAGGAACCAGAGATCAAATTGCCAACATCTGTTGGATCATCAAAAAAGCAAGAGAAACATCTGCTTTATTGACTAGGCCAAAGCTTTAAACTGTGTGGATCACAACAAACTGTGGAAAATTCTTCAAGAGATGGGAATACCAGACCACCTGACCTGACTCCTGAGAAATCTGTCTGCAGGTCAAGAAGCAACAGTTAGAACCGGACAAGGCACAACAGACTGGTTCCAAATCGGGGAAGGAGTACATCAAGGCTGTATATTGTCACCCTGCTTATTTAACTTCTATGCAGAGCACGCTATGTGAAATGCTGGGCTGGATGAAGCACAAGCTGGAATCAAGGTTGTTGGGAGAAATAACCTCAGATATGCAGATGACACCACCCTTATGGCAGAAAGCAAAGAAAAACTAAAGAACCTCTTGATTAAAGTGAAAGAGGAGAGTAAAAAAGCTGGCTTAAAACTCAACATTCAGAAAACTAAGATCATGGCATCTGGTCCCATCACTTCATGGTAAATAGATGGGGAAACAGTGGGAACAGTGACACACTTTATTTTCTTGGACTCCAAAATCACTGCAGATGGTGACTGAAGTCATGAAATTAAAAGATGCTTGCTCTTTGGAAGAAAAATCATGGCAAACCTGAATAGCATATTAAAAAGCAGAGACATTACTTTGCCAACAAAGGTCCATCTAGTCAAAGCCATGGTTTTTCCAGTAGTCATCTATGGATGTGAGAGTTTGACAATAAAGAAGGCTGAGTGCCAAAAAATTGATATTTTTGAACTGTGGTGTTGAAAAAGACTCTTGAGGGTCCCGTGGACTGCAAGGAGATCAAAACAGTCAATCCTAAAGGAAATCAGTACTTTAATTTGGGAAGGACTGACGCTGAAGCTGAAACTCCAATACTTTGGCCAACTGATGAGAAGAACCCACTCATTGGAAAAGACCCTGATGCTGTGAAAGATTGAGAGTGGGAAGAGCAGGGGATGACAGAGGATGAGATGGTTGGGTGGCATCACTGACTCGATGAACACGAATTTGAGCAAGCTCCAGGAGTTGGTAAGAGACAGGGAAGCCTGGCATGCTGCAGTCCATGGGGTCGCAAAGAGGCAGACACAACTGAGGGACTGAACTGATATGGATATGAGCAAGACCCATTGTCCTTACAGAACAGGACACCTACTGTGTGTCTGAGAGACCCTATAAGACTACAGGGGTGGAGGGTGAGGCTTAATTTGTGATTCATTGTTGTTATTATTGTTGTTACAGATTATCTTCCTCCCTTTGGTTGTGGGCCCTTCAGAACAACTACTTAGTATCTATTTTGTGTCAGAGAGTGTCCTAGTTGCTGAGGATCCAGGGATGAGTAAGACACAGTTGCAACCTACTGATAAACAATGTCTCACCTGCTAAGGTAAAAAGGCATGATACAAGTCCTGTGGAATTTGACTTCCTCTGACCTGAGGATGGAGTGTTTAGACAGCTCATTAAGATACTAGGCTGTGAGCCTATCTTAGGGTCATGGCATTGTGAATACTTAGTATGAGTTTGTGAGTTGATTTGAGTCCAGGGAGCAGTATTTGGTCTGGGTGCCGGGTGTATGTTCCAGTGACTTAAGACTAGGAATCTGCCATCTTCTGGGTCAGGGTGAGGCTGTGATGAGTTTATGTGGGTGAAATGCTTTGAAGATGAACTTTCTGCCTATTTATCTACTCATAGCCTTGCTATTAAAAGTGTCAACATCATCACCCACATTTCCAGGTCAGCAATCTTCTTGTCCTTAAATGGAGTGGGGGGAGGAGGAGAAATCAGAAACAGTCATACTCCATCCTTTGGGAATGAGGGGCTACAGTGACTAAGATGCGCTCTAATGCCAGTGAAGTTTGGCCTCAAGACCAAGAGAATAGAGTTGGGAGCTAAGGAATGATTATTCAAAATACTGAGGCTTTTGGAGAAGGAAATGGCAACCCACTCCAGTATTCTTGCCTGGAAAAATCCATGGACAGAAGAGTCTGGCGGGCTGAAGTCCATGGGATTACATGACTGAGCATGTGTGCACGAGGGTGGAGGGAGATGGGTTGGTAGCAATAAACTGGTAGAACTAAAAAAAAAAAAAATACTGAGGCTTTGTGTCTGAGAAAAAAATAACACCAACAAAATGAAGGGGCTCTTTCCTTGTGGATAGTGCATAGTGACTTCCTTCTTAAGAGGACAGAAACGAGGTAAAAAGAATAACTTTACAGTGGAGAAACCTGACACACTAGGTCAGCCAGGTGATTGAGGTCAATATCAGCATATCAACACAGTCATGTTGATATTATGTGCTCTTGATATGATGTGATGAAAATATTTTTCTCCTGGGATCTCTTCCCCTGTGGGCATGCTGAGTTGCTCAGTCATATCTGACTCTTTGCGACCCCATGGACTGTAGCCAGCCAGGCTCCTCTGTCTATGGAATTTTCCAGACAAGAATACTGGGGTAGGCTGCGATTTTCTCCTCCAGGGGATCTTCCTGACCGGGGATTGAACCAGCATCTCCTGCATTGGCAGGCAGATTAGGATTCTTTACCACTGAGCCACCTGGGAAGCCCCAGGATCTCTCCCCAAACTCCAGTTTAATCATGAGAAAAACATCACAAATTCTAGCTGAGGAATATTCTAAAGTATACTTGACCAGTACTGTTCAAAACTTTCAAAGTCATCCTTGTCAAAAACAAGGAAAGTCTGAGAAATTTTCTTAGTCCAGAGGAGCCTTAATAAAATATGAAAACTAAATATAGTTTCTAGGATGGGATCCTGGAACAGAATAGGAACATTAGGTAAAATCTAAGGAAATGTGAGTAACTAAGATTTTAGTTAATAATATATCAACATTGGTTTATTAATTGTAATAAATGTACTATACTAATGTAAGATGTTAATAAGGGGAAACTGAATGCCAGGTATATGGAAATTATCTGTACTATTTTCTGTTTGTTTTTTTGTCTATTAAAAAATGGAGGGGGTGGTATCCAGAATATAATTATGCCTTAAAAAATTTTTTTTTCTTATTTTAAAGTTCCTACTTATGGAGCATTTACCATATGCTGGTCATTGTGCTAAGCTCTGTACATGGATGATTTCATTTAATTTTTATAATTGTTTATATATTAGGCATAATTAACCTCTTTTACAGAAGCTGATGAAAAAGGAAGAGGTAATAGAATATAAATGGTGGAGCCAGGATTGGACCCAGGGATGTTTCTAATCCCAGAATTCTAAGTGTGTGGTACTCACAGTATCCTGGCTTTTCTAGAAAATGTTCAGTTTTCATAGGACAGGGCTTCCAAAGGGAAACAGAGCCTAAATTATGGGGATTGCAGTCCATTCCCACATCTCACTTCAGTCATGATTATTTTAAAACAACTCCAGTTCTAAGATCTGTAGGGGGTCAAAGTTCAACCAAGTACCTCATTTTACAAAGGGGTAAATGAAGGATAGCCACAGCATTTGTTCCAAATCACACAGAAAAGGGCCAGGAACCCAGGTTCAGTCTGTATGATTATTTCTCTTTTTATTTCCCACAACTTCCTCTTTGTAGTTAAGAAGGGAAGTAGAAACTGACCTATCTGCTTTCCCCATTTCTCGGATGGGAAACTGCACTTCAGCCCCCTAAGTTGTTAACACGCTGCTCTCCAAGGACACAATGGCATGAGGACTGGACCTGCAGAAACGTCAGGACGCTTGTTTCCACCGACAAAACCCGCACTGTCAGCACATCCTTGTGAAGCACCTACTGAGTGCTGGGACCACAGACCGTGTGTCATGGCGGGCTGGGGAGGGGACTTTAGGCCTGCAGAGGATCAGGACTCAGGAGGACAACTGCGGGAGGCCTCAGGATACAAGTAGGGGTAGGAGGGCGATGACAGCTCTAGGACAGAGGTCCCTTCCCGGGCGCGCCTTTGGAAGCGTAGCGTCAAGCCGCACAACCCTCATTTTGTGGCCAAGGACATCCCCAGGGGCCATCCTCAAACCCCGGCCCCCATCGCCACCCCCAACAGCCACTTGGCCCTTTAAGGGCGGGGGACGCGCGCCGGCGTCACAAAGCGCCGCCACCTGGCGGGGCGGCGGAGAGGAGGCGGGGACGTGGGAGGAGGAGGAGGAGGAGGGGGAGCAGGGGGAGGAGGAAGAGGAGGGGGAGGAGGAAGAGGAGGGGGAGGAGGAAAAGGAGGGGGAGGAGGGCGGGGCGCGCGCACGCGCGGCGCGTCGGGCCGCTCACCGCCTAGAGCCGCCCTCCGCCAAGAGCCGCCCTCCCTCCCGACGCGCGCCCCTCCTCCCTCCCTCCTTCTTCTCGGCTTCGTCGCTCCCGCGGCGCGAGGCGCTCTCGCTCTTCTCCTCCTCCTCTCCGCCGTCGCCCCTCCCCCCGCGCAGCCGCCGCCGCCGCCGCGAGACCCCCGCGTGTCGCGCTTCCCCCGCCCTTAGGCCCCGCGCGCCCTTCGGCCCCGGCGGCCCCCGAGGAGAACAAGAGAGCGAGCGAGCGCGGCGCTCCCGGGCCATCCCGGCCCGGTCTCCTCACCGTCGCCGGCCTTTCGCCGCCTTCCTCCGTTTCCACCTCTTCTCCCCCCCCCCCCCCCATCAAGTTGAGGCCCCCTCCGGGGGGGGGAGGCCCGAGACGCGGAGCGAATTTCTTTAACTCTCTCCACCCCTCCCCCCACCCCTGCCCGAGTGTGAGGAGAAGGGCCCGGCCCGGCCCGCGTCGTGTGTGAGGAGGAACCGGGACGGCCCACGGGCCGTGTGGGGCCTGGTCCGGGCCGCCGGGTGTGTGAAGACAGGGGGCCGGAGCGGCCCGGCAGAGGGCGAGCGGAGGGGAGGGGCCTGGTCCGGCCCGGCTGGTGCGTGAGGACTGGGGCCCCGGCCCGGCGCCGCCGCCGCCGCGATGGCCCAGCAGCAGATGACCAGTTCGCAGAAGGCCCTGATGCTCGAGCTGAAATCCCTACAGGAGGAACCGGTGGAGGGCTTCCGGATCACCCTGGTGGATGAATCCGACCTCTACAACTGGGAGGTTGCCATCTTCGGACCCCCTAACACGCTCTACGAAGGCGGCTACTTCAAGGTACCTCCACCCCCTCTCAGACCAGGCTTCCCCCGGCGGAGGCCGCGGTTTTCGGCTGTTTTCCCGGCCGAGAGTGGGAGCGCGGGGGAGCAGAGGGGGCTCCTCACCCCGGCAGCCCCCTCCCCCCATCCGTGGAGGCAGGAAGGCCTCGCTTGCTCACCCGGTGCCTTCTCTTTGTCATGGGGGCGGGGGCGGGAGGCCTGCCTGCACCGGGAAATAGGAAAGCCTCTGTGGCTAGGGTAGTGGCTACCGGAGGAGGAGGGGGGAGGTCTTTGTTTTGTTTCCCCCGCCGAGGGTGTACGGAAAGAAAGGTGGTCTGTCCCCCACGGCCTCCCATCAGAACCATCTCTGCGCCGGCTGGAACTACCCCAGAGGGCAGAGTGACCTGCACTTATGGGATTCGACCTTTTTTGGGGGTGGGGGTGGGGGGGTAGGAGGGTGGGGGAGGGGTATCGGCCTGTCATTCCAGAGGCTGCCTACTGACCTGACATTTTGGGGATTTGAGGGCTTCTTGCATATAGTGGTGGTTCCAACTTCGCATTCCAGTGGGTGGTAATGGAGAATAGGACCCTAGGGGTGGTAAACAAGGTCGCCTGCGTTTTCTTGCCATCAGCCACCTGAGGGAACTCGCATTTAGCCCCCTTTCTGTCCGCATTTTCTATTTACTTCAGTGCTGTTTCAAAATGCCCTTTGTCCTCACCCTGCCACCAACTTGACTGCACTCACCCCCGCCTTCCCCGGCCCCCGGCCTCCCGTGTAGAAATAATCCACTGAGGGCAGAACATGTTATGTAGGGAGATTGATAATTTCCGACTTCAGGGAGACAAAATTGAAACCTTTTGCTCAGATGGCTAACTCTAGCAAACGGGGAGGGGGGTGGTTTCAAAGGTGATAAGTATCATCTGCGGTGGGATGGTTTCACAAAGTAGGACCTCTCCTTAGCGACCGTAGATATACGTTCTATTGTTTTCCAGGATGTTAGAACAGTGGTTTTTATCATTCCTGAATCCAGTAGTTTTTTCAATTCCCAAATACATAATTGGAGATATTGAGGGTCTTTTGTTTTTGTTTTTATTTAACCATTTTTTAAGGGGAAAACCACAGATTGAAGGTCGAAGTTTTAAATGGTGGGGGACAGAGAGGAAATGAGTGCTTAGGAATTCTTTTAAGTTAATTTTTTTTTATTTCCAAAATTAAGTAAAATAGGTCTGTGAGTCAGTCTTAGTTTGTTTTGAAGGGAGGGGCTATCTTGGCATAAGTTTTAAATGAGTATCTTAGTCATGTAGTTACGTGTATTTTTAAGGACTGCCCAATTACTTTAGTTTCTACTCTTCTAAAGGTAGAAACCTCAGTTTCAGGCTTGAAATTGGGTCTATTTTGTAGAAAATGTGAAGAATTGATTGGGGAATGTTTACCATTCATGTCTGTGATAGTCACTTAATACCTGGTTAAAAGCATGCATTTAGTTTTTAGAATACTGTATATACCAACCATACACTGTACTCTTCAGAGGAAAATACTTGCAAAATCCACTGGCTAACTTTAGTGAAATGAAGTTTAATTTCCAAAACGTATCATTATTTGGGACAATCGCTTGTCAGGATAAATGGTTACTAGCTAGAAATATCTTATTCCTGCGCAGTGCATTAAAAACAAACAACAACAAACAAAGGAAATAATGGGTTTAAAATGGTAATAGTTTTGCTCAGGTAATTGAGAACAGAGTGTGGCGAACCCTCTCAGTTTGGCATAGGTAATATGGAAGGAGGATTCCTTGAAGCATGCACTGATTTAGATTAACTGCTCTTTAAATTCAGTCTTATTTAAAAAGAATCTCGTTTTGTTGTATGTTTTAGATTTTTTTTTAAACTTTTGTGATATGTAAAAAATGTATGAAAATTCTTAAACAGATTTAGTGTTTTAGTCTTATGTGAGAATTTTGTTCAGTTTTGTTCTCTTCTGCTTTTTTTTCTTTATTAAATGGCTTTTTATTCCAAAGTCCTTCATTGGAAAAGGCAAATTTATGGTCCTGAGCAGTTAACACTGGTGACAGGTTTTAAAATCATTGTTTTTTATTTCACTGCTTTTGTGAAACAAGGCTTTTAGTGTGTCCACTACAGCTGCAGTTAAAAGTTGGCACAGATCTTTCTCTACTACTGTTCTCCTTGATCAAATGGTGGTTCTTGAACATTTAATTTATTTTCAAGTGAAACTATTTTCTTTATGGTGTGTTATAGTTTCCAAAGGCAGGGGCCGCCAGTCATTTTAAATTTTTCATAATTTAACTCCTTTACCTTTTACATATTAATAGACTTCTAACTGATCTTATTCATCATGAAATAGTTGACCCTAGTCTGTTTTAACTGTGGAATCTGTTGTAGTAGAGACTTGTGAGACCTGTATTTCACAAATTTGTTTTTTCAACTTATTTTTCAAATATCTTGAATCTGTATGATTCTTAGCTTGGGTTGGGGATTGAGAGGAATATAGATGTATGGTGGGCAAAAGTAGTTTCTTGTGTCTGATTTTCTGAATGTTAGAAACTCTTCTTTGGCCTCATTATCTTTTTGTCCAGTTTCTTTAATTTAAAAAAATTTTATTTTATTTTTTTGGCCACCCTGCATGGCATGTAGGATCTTAGTTCTCCCACCAGGGATCAAACCCTGGTAACCCTGCTTTGGAAGCCAGGAGCTTTAACCGCTGGACCTCCAGAGGAGTCCTTTGTCCAGTTTCTTGATCTCATTGATTCAGAGTGAATTTCTTTGCCTCTTCAGATTTTTCCTCTGGGGGCAATCATTGTAGAACACAAAGTAGGAGATGATTTAGAATACCCAGAACACTTCTGATCTTAATTTTGCTAATGTGGATCGAGTTGGAATTCTATTATGTTACTGGAAGAGGAACTTGTTGATCACGTGAGCAGTAGTAATGACTTTTAACAAGTTTACCCCTATTCTTTTAGAAACAACTATCTTTTCAGATAACTCCTGATAATGATCACAACTTAGTGTGGCTGCTTTTGTATAGAACCTCCTTGTAACTCCTGCATTATTTATATAAATACAAGATAGCAGTGAGTCTGGAGATCAGAAAGAGTGAGTTTTTCATGATATGCATAACATTTAAGTTTAAGTGTTACAGAATGCTTAAAGTGTTGAAGGTTTTGTAGTTTTGATTTTATTTAGTAATCTATGGGAATGAAATACAGGTGTGTTCCATTTTTGGATAACTCCCAACAGATAAAATTTAGGAAGTATTTGTTATATTTTCAGAGTTTTCCTTAATAGGATATTCTTTATCAAATATAACACTTCATTTTATATTAAAGAAACTCTTGAATAGTAATTGTTTAAGATAAAGGACATACATTATTTTCATTTGTTCTGGAATCTATTGTTCACGTGTCACCCCTCCCTGCCCCATAAAAACTATTTTATGACTCTGACATTTTTAATATATAATTGAAACAATTTTTCTAAGTAGTTTTGTCTTTTTGGCATAGGGATCCTTTTGAGAACTTTATAAATTTTCTTCAAAAGACAATCAGAACACACTAGTTTGTATGTAGGAGGGTTAACTGAATCCTTGTTTTAAGGGATTTGGATCGTCAGCTTTAAAAACAATTAAACTCCTTTGATGTTGTAAAAAAATACTACTATTTAAAAAAAATTTTATGATAAGTCTTTCAGTCAGTTAAAATTTTCTTAGTTTAAATTTTTTTCTCAGTGACTTTAAGAATACCCCTTAGGACTTTTAGCTGTACCCTTTTCTGGAAGCTGAATTTGTCTTGAGTGCTTAGTGAGCTAAGGGAACATTGTAAATGGAAACATGGTTAATGTCCACTGATTTGGGACACTGAGTGCAATTTTAGTCCCCAGCCTGCATCCCTGGCAAATTAAGCATTCCAGTATTTCATAGATTATACTTTTACCATATTAAGTTGATTCCAAGATGAATATTTTTCTAGTTTCACATCTCAAATTTGGAATAAGTCTAGAAAGTCTTAGAATTGCCATCAACTAGGTGGCACTGTGACTTAGCTGTGAGAGAGCCTTCCATTGAAATCATCTGATAAAATTTTTTTAAATGCTAGCATCAGTGTCTTAAATTTGATCAGTAAGAATTATTTCTTTTTGAATGAAGGATTTGTTTCCTTAGTACTTTTTTTGCTGCATGTTGATTCCTCTTTTTCAGAGATTTGTGTTAGTAAACAATAATTATTGAAAACACACCAAAGGCAAAGCACTATAGGAAGTGTCACTACCTTTCAGATAGTAAGGAAAAGTATTAGGACATTGATAACCTTAAAACTTTTATGAATAATCTTCAGAAAAGTCTTTGTGCAGCAATGTGAGGGGTAGGTGTTACTGACAGAATTGTAATGGTAATTAAAATCAAAGTTTTAAGGCCAGTTAGTGCATTGGTCAACATAACCACAGTCTGTCATGATTAAATATTCTGCTCCATTTTTAAAACTTAGTGTTAGTGTTCCTAGGCTAAGTAAGGTTCCAGAAGAATCTGTCTGTTGGAGACAGGTGAAATAAAAGAGATTATCTAAGAAATTGGCCCACCTCTGCTAATATAGTTTGGAAAAATAACAGGAAGAGTTATAAATTCAGGATTTAAGACAACAGAAATCCTATCTTGCTGAAAGGTCATATTTAAAGTTTTTAATTCTTTCATGTTCCTGAAATTCTTTTGGACGTTTCATCATGTACAACTACATATATATCTGAATAAGACTAAGCTGAACCTCTTTGAAAGTGTTTTGTCAGCACAGAATTAATTCATTTCAGCTTCATTCAGTGAGAAATTGAGTTTATGTTTAAGTATCTTTAAATGAATTGATTCTGAAATTATGGGATGATAAATACTTAACTGAAGAGAAAATTTTAGTTTGGATTGCTAAGGTTTGATTTTACATAAATTTTCCTCTATATAAGAATTGGAATAGTCAGAAAAAAAAAGAATTGGAATATTCAGATTTGGGGATATGTATT